AGTGTAAGTAGCGGTTATATTCGTATCTGCCTGGATATTATGATAGGAAAAGAAAAGAAGAAGAAAAGGAGGGATACCGCTAGAAAGCTCGCCCTTTATACTCGAGGGATCGAGCGATTAAGGGGGCTATAAGCCTTATTACTACTATAAATTATAAAGACGGCTATTTAGTTAAAGCAGTTATAAAAGGGCCTTTACCTGCTACGGCCTAAAGGAGGGGTAATTTACTATTTCCCCATTTAGATCCCTTATTCCTAAGTCACGGCTACGCCTATAACTAAATAACGCAGGAGCTATGTCGTCTAATCTTTTCGACTAATTAGAGCCCGGATTTTAATATCTTTTTCCTAATCGGGAACCTTCCCGTCGGGTTAAAGAAGTTATTATCGTAGTGACTAAGGCACGCCTCCTTTAACTAACCGAAAAGACTCCTTTATAGGTAGTAACTAAGTAGTAACGCCTACTATAAAGGAACCCTTAAAGAGAAGCCTATCACGGAAGAAGGCACTTTTAAGCTTATTAGAGGAGGATAAATATCCCTTAACCTTAAGGTCTAAGGATCTCTTTTCCTCTCTCTTCCACTCTTTAGTTTTCGACTAGCCTTTACCCTCGGATATCACCCGTAACCACTAACCTCTATTATATAAGCAACGACGTTTTCTTTTTCTTTTTAACTCCCTTTAACGCCCCTAGATCTAATCAGGCTAACTAGCCGTAGTTTATACTTATAGTAGCTCTCGTTTCCTCTTAGCACCCCCTTTTCCCCCTCTTATTATATACGTTACTACCGCTATAACTAACTATCAGGCTATAGCCCCTATAGGGAACTTACTTAAGCGGTATATTCACCCTAAAGCACGCGTAGTTATTAAGTCTCGCACTAAGAGCCGCGTAGAATATATTTCTAAGAAGAGCAGATAGGCTTTTCCCTTAACCGGCCTCCTTTACTGTCTATTCGACGTATCTAATAATAACCCTCTTTTCTTTAGGTTCGCTATAGGCGATAAGGCTAACTAATAGGCTATCTAATAGCTTTTAGAAAGCGAGGAAGGGGAGTATTTAGGGGGAGAAGCTACGGATAAAGTAACCCAGTTAACACTAATAGTAAAGGTCCGTAGGGATAGCGTTATATTAGCCCGAATAGCCTTATTTACTGCCTAAAGAGTATATAATAACGTCTCTAAGAATAAGTAATTAGGAAAGTCCACCCTAGAAGATCTAATTAGGGTAATAACTACTAGGCAGATTAGGGATTCTAGGCCTAAGGTTTAGATTAATAACGTCGACTTATAGGGATATAACGCGAAGAAACGGAAGTATAACTACCTGGATATTAGCGATAGGGACCTTTTCCGTATTATAACGAGTAGACTAATCCCCTTTATATATTATATTAGAGGTAACCACTTCGTCGGCCTGATTTTAGATTAAGAAACCTGGGTTATATACGTATATAATAGTATATAGCTTAACGGAGGAGCTAAGAAGCGTCTACTAAAGAGCTTCCGAGGAGTTATAAGTTAGCTACGGTATATTAAGGCGCCTAAGGAGGCTATAGATAGCCTAATCAGGAAATTCTATATTATCTCCGGACCCTAGTAGAAAGACACGTATTCGTGTAGTCTATTTATTAGTGAATAGATTCATTCTATTATTTAGGAGGGTTACTTATTTCCTGTATCCTTTAGGCTATATCGGCTATAGGACGGACACTATTATACTACCGATAACGCCAGTTATAGATAGTATATCCGGTATAGTTAGTTAAGCTATATAGGCAAACTCTTCGGCTTCGGCCACTAGCCCGAGCTAGCTTTTAAGCAACCTACCCCGACACCTAACCCAGCTCCTACTACTACTCCCGTTATAACCTCCTCCTATAATCTGCCTAAGATAACGGGTTTTAAGCCTATTAATAAGAAATAAACGCCCGTTAACCCGCCTACGGGACCGAAGACACTAAAGACGCCTAAAGCGCCCGAGACCCCTTAAACGACTAAGTAGAAGTCCCCTTCCCCTAATTAGGGACTAACTAAAGTCCCGACGTTTAATAAGGATAATAGCGGCGCGTTCCTAGAACTAGGTAACCTTAAGCTTACCACCCCTAAGTATAAGAAGGTTACTAAGAAATACACGCCCCTAGCTACCGAACCCTCTCCTATTATAATACCGCCTAAGTCTTCTAAAGCCTAAGCCCCTACCGGTTCCCCTAATTAGAAGAAGATAGAGCTAAAGAAGTAGCCGTAGCCCGCTCCTATTAAGATTAGTTCGGCTACTAGCTACTACACGCATAAGAGAGAGGACCTCGTTAATTTTACCGTAAGGACCGATATATAGAGTAAGTAGGAGAAGGATTAGGCGTACTAAGGTCGTAGTCTAAAGATAGCTTGTAGCCTGCTATTCTATAGGCTAATTAAGATAAGGAATATACCGTTTAGACCGAGTAACTATAGCCGGGAGGATTAAGTCTAATCGTTTAATAACCCCTATAGAGCCGCCTTATAGGATACCGCTACTAATAGTAGTAAGTATCTCCCGCTATCGCGAGGAGTGGAATAGGGAGGATAGCGTTATTATAGTGCCGCTATTAAGTAGGAAGCGGATAAGGCTACTACTAATTAAGAGCCTAAAAAGGCTAATAAGCCGGACTATATAGTCGGAGGAAAGACTTTACGAAAGCGTAAGTAAAGGTAGATATAGAGGATTAAATAAGGGACGTCTTAAGGATATAGCTAATAAAGATAGTAAGGGTACGGTATATACGGAGGAACCAAAACTAAGAGGATCCCTAATTAGGTATACGTAGAGGATAGGGTGATTAGAGGAATAAGGGTGTACGATAGCTCTTTACTTAGTTTATTTACTTATATCTACTTACTTTTAGGAGTTATCTACGCTACGAGGGCGTAAACGTGATAACTAGGGCCGTATTATAACCGCGCAGATACGGCTTTAGAGTGGTTTAGCAGAACGGTTATATAACCCCCTTTTTAAGGCTACGGGATCCACCTCCTATATATATATTAAGGACAGGCGCCGGACATCCCTATTAAGGGATTAAAAGATAATTATTATCCTCTTTTACAATTACTTATTCTACGTTTAAGGTATCTTTCCAGTTTAACTTACATTGCCCTGATCGGAATAATGACTACCGATCTACTTCTTTGCTAAAGGTTATAGTTGTGTTGGTTATGTTTTGGTTATGCATCGTGGTTTTGCTAGACTAACCTCTTTATCTGATCTTTTTCTTGACGATCTGGTGCCACTACGTCTTCATACAGTTATACTATAGAACCTCGTAAAACCGAGGAAGATTTAGATCTTCTTAATATTATTAGGCCCCTTAATATTTAGTTAAAGTATCGAAGCGGTGCCGTTATAGGCCTAGCTTACCCTTACTATCTCCGTAACTCTTTATACTATTATCTTAGCACTCTATCCGGGTCGGTTACTTATTTATCCCCTAGGAGGAGCTTATACTCCTTTAGTATAGTCGCGATATAGTCGCCTAGTATACCTTTAAAGACCTTACTTATAGTATTAAGAAATAATATTAAGCGCTATCCCTTTATTATCTCGTAGTCGGCCTATGGCCGGCCTTCCTTCCTAAGGACTACTATAATAGCGTAACGATACGTTTTCGGATAATAACTTATTTCGAGGTATATTATAAAGATAGTACTTAGTCTCTAATATAGGGGGGGGTTTATATGCTTTTAAAAGTCCTAATAGAAGCCTATTAGGTCTTAGCGCCGCCTAGGGCTTTATTTACTTAAGGCGCCCTTATATACCCGCTACGGTAATATCGTAGCGGACATCCTATCCAGGGGGGGGATACGGCGCTTAGGGGCCGGGGGGCAGTAGATTAGGGGGGGGGAAGAACTTCCGGCTAAGGACTTCGGCTTTCTCCTTGTATATTACAGCGATATCGCTGTCGCTATCGCTTTGGAGTAGTATAATACTATATTATTAGTTAGCTAAAGCGATAGGAAGGGGGTAGTAGTAAGCTAGGTACTATGTTTTAATTGGTTATAAATGTAGGTCTATGACTGAACTATAGTCGGAATAACCAAGTGGTATAGTCGGAATAACGGGTCTTAATAACTATAGATATATCGGAACAAGGTACTCTACTCGTCTATTATAATATATTTATTATACCTTAATAAGGTGGCTATAGTTATCTAATTCTTACCTTAGCCACTGTTAAACTATATAAGACACCAGAAGTATGTATAGAAGTGGGAAATTCTATTTTAGTGTAGCGGTATATTTTCTGTGTTCTAAGAGTTATAAGCCCGGGAGGATTTATTCTATAACTTCCCTGCCTACTTACTAAAGGTTACCCGTTCGAACCCTAGCCAAGGAGATATCTTAAAAAGAAGAGAGATCCACTAAACGAGCGTTGTATCTAATTAGAGAAGAGAGCCGCCTTGATACTAGTAATGAATCCAGCCAGCCTTTATTAAGCACGAAGATCGTCCTTTATATAAGGCTGGGGGGGTATATTGCACTATATAAGACACTAGAAGTTGTCGCGATATAGCTAGGTGCAGACTACTATATAACTACTAAAAGTACCTATACTACTAGGGAATTCTCTTTTAGTGTAGCGGTTACTTTTAGATCTTTACAGTTATAAGCCCGGGAGGATTAGTCCTGTAACTTCCCTGCTAAAAGTCACCCGTTCGAAATATATCCATACCACCTATTTTAAGGCAGTAGTATACGCAGAGCCTAAGCCTAATTAAGCAGCTATAGTACTAAGCAGAAGATAGTACTTATACGCTGTCTTCTCGATATCCGCGCGATACAGCCCGTAAGCACTACGATAAGTCCTTATAGGCTAGGGGGTGTGTCGCGATATAGCTAGGTGCAGACCACTATATAACTACCAAAAGTACCTATACTACTAGGGAATTCTCTTTTGGTGTAGCGGTCACTTTTGGATCTTCACAGAAGTACCTACACAAGTGGGGAATTCCCTTTTGGTGTAGCGGTACATTTTCTGTGTTCTGACAGCCACTGTCGTCAATATCAGTTTATCAGAAACCACGTCACGGGCGTCGAGTCGTGGTAAAACCTGGAACCTCCCCATCTGTTTCGCAACCTACGTAATTACAACTGGTTTGTGTTTATCCGTTAATCTTGGAGAGCCAGCATTCACATCGAGAAGTTTCTCCCTTGATATTTCTCAACTACAAACACACTCAGGCGGCTCTATCGACGCTTGAACTCATCGAAATGTCGAAACGAACGAGCAGTGCCGTTGTTAACGGCATCGTCGCTAAAGACGGTGGGAGCGACTTGTCTCCGCCTGGTATGCCTCACTAGTATATTGTACGCCTCACTTGGGAAGTAGCTAACAGGTTCTTGGTCTGTCCACGTAAGACAAGCAAAAGCTGCTCCTTTCCGCCGACACTGGCCACCTCTCTCTCGTTCGAGCGATGCACCTTGCCGACCTGATCACACTCTGCAACGGTACGCAAAAAATACTCTCCAGCCTCTTTTATATTTTATTATCTTTTCATGCTGATGCGTTGTAACGGTAGGAGCCTGCGGGACTCTCTCCGTCTTTAGCTCTCTCGCGTATTGTCTTGGAGACCCCAACGACCTACATGCCATGTATCGCGCTCTCCTCTTTCTCCCCCTCGGTCTCTTCTTCGACTTTTTAGATGGCAAGGTCGCGCGCTGGCGCAAGAAGTCCTCCCTCATGGGCCAAGAACTCGACTCGCTAGCCGACCTCATCTCCTTCGGAGTTGCTCCTGCCGCTGCCGCATTCGCTCTCGGGATCCGGACCCCGCTCGACCAGCTCTTCCTTGCCTTCTTCGTTCTATGCGGTCTCGCCCGACTGGCCCGCTTCAATGTGACCGTTGCGGCGCTGCCTCGGGACGCTTCGGGAAAGAGCGCCTACTTTGAGGGCACGCCGATCCCCACGACTTTAGCCCTCGACGGCATCATGGCGTATTGGATACACAAGGGAACTGTCTTGGGGGCCCTGCCCTTTGGCATTGCACTTGATGGTTCTCCGCTGGCGTTCCACACCGCCGCGCTCATGTTCGTTGTGCATGGTTGTCTAATGACCAGCAGAAGCATTCGGATACCAAAGCCCTAAAGGAGGTCGGCTGATGAGCCCGGCTGGAGGCCGCTACGAACCGTGCCTGGGGTCATGTCCTGGGCGCAAGTTCGTTGTCACAAGGGCCCATTGCGATGGTGAGCACCTAAGACGTCGGGGTCCCTTTTGGATGTGTGTTTTTCTTCCTGTCCTACCTCGGCGATGCAGACGTCGAAATCAGGAGATGCTTATGTTGGCTTATTGGGCTTGTAATGGAAACAGGGACACTGAACCGCGAACTAAACTGTATGGTTTGTCCTATCGTTCAATGGCATAGACCTAGTAATCCGTTTAAGTGTATAATAGACATGATGTTTGGTGCCATGGTTGCAGGCTATTTGCCAGGCAAACGGATTTGTGACATGTTGGAGAGTTTTCGAATCGTTAAGCAGTTGGTCAAAGCTTGGTTAAATGGCTTTGCACTCAGGCTTGTATTTCAAGAGCGGTGCGAAGCTGAGGGCAAGTGCAGAAATACTTGTTTGCCTAGGTACCTATGTACACGGTACAAATGTTTGAATATGGTAACTAAGGTACTGTCGCATGGGCACACGGACTATAACGTGGTCTATAGGGGATCCAGGGGGGATCCACGCCGTGACTAAGGGCTTCGGATATCGGGGACCTCGGGTATGAGGATATAATAGGGGCGGATACCGGGAAAGACCGGATAGGATCTAAATGACTTAGTACCTATAACAGAGTCTTTACTACCTAAATTAAGGGTATAAGAGACTGCTAGATATAACTTAATATAATATATATATATATATAAGATTTCTGCTCTACTAAGTTAATAATCTCAGTGTCTTTTAATATACCACAATTATAAGCCCGGTTTATAACGCCTAAACGATAGATATTAATAAGGCTACCCTTATTCTACTATAAAGAAGTAATCACGTATATATAAACACTCTTAAATAACTACTATCGACCTAATTAGAGTAATTAAGAGATTAATTAACCTACTTATTAATTAACTAACCGATAAACTAATAAAGATATCTTCTAACGTATCTAACGCCAAATAGAAGGCGGCCGCTACTACCCTTATTAACTAAAGGCATTAGGTAGTATAGGAGCACGCTATACACGGTAAATCTACCTCCTACTAGAATAACTATCTTAATCTAAAGCTAAGCGATAAGGAGGCTAACGCCTATCTCCTCCCTATACCTACGCCGCCTAATATCCGTAAATATAAGGCCCTTACCGTAGACCCTAATATAGTAAAGGAGGCTATAGCTACTCTGTCTTCTTCTATTACGCTAGAGGGCGATAAGGCCACGGACGCTATAAACCCCGCCGCTACCACGGCTACTACTATAGCGGCTATAGCCGCCGGTAAAGAAAAGACGGCCGCCCGCCGGAAGGTTATAATTACGGCTATAATAAAAGAACTAATAACCAGGGTACGTATATCTATTAATAACCTCTCTAAAAAAGGGCGTATACGCTACTTATAAGATCTCCGCGTATACCGCGAGGAAAAGGCAGACTACGACGTGTAGTAGAAGGAGCTTAGTAAGGTACGCTCCTATATTAAAAGAACCGTCTACACTATATTACGTAGCCTCCTCGCCTAGCTATAGGATAATACCGTAAATAACGTATAAGCTTAGATTACTCTCCTATACGTGTACGCAGGACCGACCCCTATAAACGTCCGTGAGGAAGCCTTAGTCCCATATTAACGATACACTACGCCTATAAAGGCTATACCTAAGGATATAGACGGCTAAGTTATAAGCCAGAAAATAGCGATAATACACTATAAATATATAGGCGTTTTAAAGCTATTAAGCGCGGACTATTAGCCAGAAGACGCGTTAAAAGCTATGAGACCTATCGCCCGGAATAAAGCAATAACTACCTAGTAAATAACTACGATAAGATTACGGAAAATAAGCTAATAATTAACGACTTCGTAAAGGCTCTAAGGGCGGTTCTTAGTAGTATAAAGAGCCTATAATCCTCCGCTATAAAGCCTAGAGTTAGGAGAGGCACCTTTAATACCTTTAGGAACCTCCCCGATACTAAGGATACTACTAATAATAAAGATAATAAGAATTGTCCTCGTAGTAATACGTCCGTAAAGGCTATCCCTCCCGTAATAAGGAGGCCTTATAAGATATATAAGAACCCCTATACTACCGCCGCCTATTAGTACATAAGGCCGGATATACGCCCTTATACCTAGCGCGGCCGCGAAGATATTATAAAGGTTATAGAAAAGAAAATACGTAACTATAGTTTTAAAAGCCGCGTAAATACCGCGATATAGAAGAGGCAGGAAGCAGTAGCTACTACTACTAATAAAATAAAGGAAATATAGAAAGATTAACTCTATAATATTACGCCTACGACTATAATAGTTTATAAAGACTTATCCGTTACTATGACGGGACTAGGAGCCTACCTAACCTAAGGGGTAACGCGTTATTGTATAATGATACTATTAAAATTATAATAAGAATAAGGGGTATCCCTTTCTATTAACTAAGCCAGCGCGCTATTATACTACGCGATCCTAGACTTAGGATCGTTAATCTATATCTTTAATAATCGAGGCCGTTTTACGGCCGTTAGACTACCCACGGATACTTTATTATCCTTTTAGGGAGGTACTTATAAGGCTTCTATCCTCGGATACGGAGATATTAAGCTACGTATAGAATCTCTATTAGGCACGAAGAGGCTATTACGCCTCCGTGATATTATATACTATAAGGAATTCGTCACTAATATAGTCTCGGAATGTTAGCTACGTTTATAAGGTTACCGCTAGGATACCGTAAATACCACTATTATTAGCTCCACTAATAACTAACCTATCTATAAGCTACTAGATATCTCTAGGTAGTATATAATCGAGCGCGCAGAAGCCACGGCTACTACAGCGTTCGCGGTCTTAGTAAGGCACCCCCGCGATAACCCGTATAGAAAATGTCAAAGGTATCCTCGTCTGGAGTGGCATAATACTGATTAACCGACACGTCCTAGGTGAATAGTGGTTCGTCTATAGGTGATAGGTTTCAGAATGCTTAGATTATTCCTTACCCGCCTTAAGAAAGAGGTCCCTAAGGCGCCCTTTTTATAGCTATCCGGGGTCTAACTAGAATCCTCCTATCTATCCCCGGCTAACTCCCTTAATATAAGACTATCACACCTAATATCTTAACCTTTATCCTCCTATTAACTCCTAGTAGTCCCACCTCTAACTTCCTATAGCCTAATATCTAGGAATCTAGATATAGCCTTAGCCCTTTTAAGTCGTGGTGATATCCCTCGTGGATACTATCCCTTAGCTATATAATAGCGAGACTATAGCGATAACTTATTAATTCCAGGTATACCTACTACTAGACAGGCCCTTCTAGATCGTGGACCTAAGTCGTATAGATACTATCCCTTAGCTATATAATAGCGAGACTATAGCGATGACCTATTAATTCCAGGTATACCTACTATTAGATAGGCCCTTCCAGATCGTGGATATAAGTCGCGTTGATACTATCCCTTAGCTATACCATCGAGATAGTACCGTATTAATAACCGGTTAGTCCGTGATATGTCTGCTGTTATTAACCCGATAAGCTAAGTATATCTTATCGTCCCTTACTTAGTATATCCGTGACAGAAGATCACGATAACCGCGGTAACCGTAGAAGACCACGGTATAATAGTAGTACGAACGCCTTGGCTATTACGGTACCGATACTCTTATAAAGATCGTCGACGCTACTTAGGGGGTAAAAATAAGAGAACCTTGTATAATAGACTGTAACACGTATAGATAATTATAAGTGCCTACGTAGATCCGGCGGATACTATCCCTTTACCCGTTAAAGCCCGGAGAGGCCCTAGCTATCAATTTTTATAATCTAAACGAGGCGGAGTTATTAGTAGACGGCCTATGTAAGTCTATTATATTCGTTATAGACGGATATATAGGTTATACGTGGGATTACTACCTATAGAAACAAGACTAAGGCTCTATCTTATACGTACTAAAAGACGTTTTTACCCTACTTAAGACCTAATTTAACGCTAAGCCACGCGTTCTATAGGCCGATTCTAAGATATTTTAGCACCTAGAAGTCGTTGCTTGCCTCGCTACGAAGGGGGTAGAAGGCTAGCCGTTAGCACTATATTTATAGAATTAAAATAGCGTTATAGAACGGATTAAAGGCATCGTTAAAAGGAGGGCGAGGGCTAAAAGGATTAAGGCTCATCTGCCTATATCTATCTAGCCTAAGATCTTTAAGACTACTATATATCTATATAATAGGATGCCACGATATATTAATAACTAGCGAACGCTATATAAAGGCCTACGCGGCCGTTAAGCTAACCTTACGCACCTATAAGCTTACGGCTATAAAGCCTTTATGAAAACGCGCGATACCTAACCTACAAGGAACCGTCTATAAAGGCTAGAACCGAAGGTATAGATCGGTTATCACGTCGGATACTAATCCTCGAATATCTTCTGTATCTAGCTATTACACCTAATAGATATTATTACTATGAAAGACGTGGTCTTTAACGAAGATAGGATATTTAACGGCAGGATTAAAACGCTATAAGCTATAGCTTCCACTAAGGAAATCGGGGAACACATATAATCTATCCGTATTACCTAATCTAATAAGACCGCGAATATGCTACTATTAAGGGGTATAGCCGTTGACGTATTAGATCTTAAGTCAGAAGACTTTAACGCCACCGCTATTACTACAAGTAAAGGCGATACCACCGCTAGTACTACGGATAAAAGTATGGCCGCCGCTATTACTACGAGAGAGGCCACTACTATTACTATAGACTATATCACAACTTATTACAAGGTCCTAAATCTATAGCCTAATACCTAGGCTATAGATTTAGAACCTCGTAACTCTAACACCACCGCTATTACTATAGGAGAGGCTATTACTATTACTATAAACTATATCACCGCTATTACTACGGGCACCGCTATTACTACGGATACTAGTATTATTATAGGAGAAGACTATACTACCGCTTTTACTACGGGTAAAAGTAATAACACCGTTATTACTATGGGCCAGGAAAACGCTACCGCTATTATTACGGGAGAGGCTACCGCTATTACTATAGACACCGATACTATTACGGATACTCCGCAGTTTACCGCTACGAGGTTCGAACTGTTTCCTACGCCTCTAATATCCCCGGAAGATCCTGCGCGCGCGTTCCTTATAGCGTTAGCAGTGGTTAGGGGCGTTAAGGTAGAAGGAGATAATAATAACTAACGGGCAGCCGTGGATACCCCTAAGGGGTGCCTATTAGCCGTACGC